TGGGTGTCTTTAGCCCCAGCTACTCAGGAGGCTGAGGCAGGAGAATCGCTTGAACCCAGAAGACGATTGTAGGGAACCAAGATTGCGCCACTGCAGTCCAGCCTGGGCAACAAGAGCGAAACTCCATCTCAAAAAAAATGAAAATGAAAAAGAAAACACTATAAAAGATAATAAATGGTATTCTTGTATGGGGAGCACTTACCACAAATGGTAAAATAAAATAAACTACATATATTTAAAGTGTATCAATACATAAAAATCAGCTATACAGCCATGGGTAATCAGAAATCTTACTACAGGCTGGGCACGGTGGCTCACACCTCTAATCCCAGCACTTTGGGAAGCTGAGGCAGGTGGATCACCTGAGGTCAGAGGCTCGAGACCAGCCTGGCCAACATGGTGTAATGCCATTTCTACTAATACAAACATTAGCCGGCTGTGGTGGCGCACACTTGTAATTCCAGCTACTCGAGAGAGGCTGAGGCATGAGAATCGTTTGAGCCCAGGAGGCGGAGGTTGCAGTGAGCCATGATCATGCCACTACACTTCAGCTTGGGCGACGGAATGAGACTCTGTCTTGGGGGGAAAAAAAAAAAGGTGAGGCAAAGTGGCTCACACCTGTAATTCCAGCACTTTTGGAAGCTGAAGAGGAAGAGGAAAGATCACTTGAGATTGCGCCACTGCACAATCAAGAGTTGAGGTCAGGAGTTTGAAACAAACCCATCTTCCCATCTCTACCAAAAAACAAAAATTAGCCAGATGTAGTGGCACACACCTGTAGTCCCAGCTACTAGGCAGGCTGAGGCAGGAGGATCACTTGAACCTGGGAGGCAGAGGTTGCAGTGAGCCAAGATCATGCCACTGCACTCCAGCCTAGGTGACAGACTATGGCTCTACTTCAAAAAACAAAAAACCTTACTACAGCATAAAAATATCTGAAATACTGAATAAATCCCATAAAATCTGTGAAAGACTTGAAGAGACACCTTAACAAACAAGATATATGAATGGCAAATAAGTTCCAGAAAAGATGTGTGGTTGCTCATGCCTGTAATCTCAGCACTTTGGGAGGCCAAGGTGGGTAGATGACTTGAGCCCAGGAATTCGAGACCACCCTAGGCAAATTGAGAAAACCCCATTTCTACCAAAAACAAAAACAAAATCAAATTAGCCAGGTGTGGAGGCACACAGCTATAATCCCAGTTACTTAACAGGCTGAGGAGAACTGCTTGAGCCCAGGAGGTTGAGGCTGCAGCGAGTTGTGACTGCACCACTGCACTCCAGCCTGGGAAA